TGAAACATCTTCTGAAATTAAACAATTTATTAAAGATAATATTTATTGTTCTTCTTCTGAAATTTGTCATCAGGTTCATGAAAATCAAATTAATGGATACGAATGTATAACTGTTTAACAAATTTACTACTGGTGGTTAGTAGAATCTCGAAAAATATATAGTCGACATTCAGATCCTTTACTATCTGCACAACTTTTAATAAAGGAATGTGGCTTACAAATTATATTAAATTATCTTAATTTACCTGTTCCTGCATTTGGATTTTTAACAACATTATTTCATCGATTAATTTATAATAAGTTGGATGTGATAGTAATTGATGCAACTTATAGCACAAATAACTTATCATGGGAATTGTATGCACTCATGGGTGTAATTGATAGTACCGAGTTTCCTTTTAGTTATTTGTTAATTTCAACTGGAAAAAATCGAGATATAACAGATGCTGGATGCAAGCTTTAAAAGAACAATATTTGAAACATTTTTCATTTATTTTAATTGACAAAGACTTTTCAGAAATAAATGCGGCACAAACAGTTTAGCCAGAAGCTCGTATACAAATATGCATATGGCATGTGCATCATGCTATCAAACAATGATTAGTATTAAATAAAACAAATATATACTATATTTATAATTCTAGAATTGCATATGAGGAATGTTTATTAATAGATCCTAATTGGGGTGTTGTAAATAATTCTAATTCGACATTCTTTTGCCCCTTGAATTTACGTAAAACAGTAATGAAAATTATAGAAAATCATTCAAGCTGACATATGTTACTACCAAAATCTGATGGTAGTTTTGTTACAAATTCAAATGAGATTTGGAAAGAGTGTATTAATTAAATTTTTCAATTCTGTAAATGTAATGACTTACATATATCTCTGGAAAGAATGGTATTCAAAAGAAAAGTGGGGTTTGTAGGCAAGATCAGCTAATGAAAATATTTCCCATATTAAAACAACTATGATCATTAAAACGCATTGGCACCACATTAAGTATGATCATTTATATAAATTTCACAAACCTAGAGTTGATCATTTATGTTTTATTCTTATCAAAAAAGTTCTTACTCAGCAATTGTATCAAGTTCAACTACTTCAGCAAGGTCAATATTCAGTACCATGGCGAAAGGAGTTTAAGAAAGAATGGAAGCAACATGAAAAGCAAAAAACACAATTAAATAATAAGTACTTTACTGACCCGGCTAAGTAGATATGTGCATGTCCTGCATATATCCAAAGTCGTTTTTTTATGCAAGCATCTAGTTAATTCTGTTGAAAAAGCTGATTTGATGTTCTTTAAGAAGGCATGTAATAATTATTTGAGATTTAATATATATATATATATATTATACTATTTTATATAATAGGTGCAGTGAAATGGAAAATATCCACTAATTTTTTCATATGAAGGCAAATTGGTGAACATGTTTAACTTAGAAGATACTCAAAATCATGAAATTTAACTTTTCCATTAATTTAAAACCCACAAATTAAGCATGAAGACGATTATGTTATTGAAAGCAGTGATGATGAACAGGATATGTACGAATCAGAGTTAGTATATTTGCATAAAGTCTTAGATAAGGTATTTAAATTTTATTATTATTATTATTATTTTTTTTAAAAAAAAATTAAAAAATTCTATCATATTTTAAGACCAAAGAGCTTCTTGAAGAATCATGTACCAAGTCGAAAGGACATTTATAGCTGCACAATATTCACCTGAATTTTAGATTACTGGAAAAATGAATAATGACATTTTATTATTAAATAACCGACGAAAGATGCCAAGAACATGGCAAGACTTTAATAATAATACAAGATATTGGGAATGATAAACTTATATTTATTTTTGCAGCAAACAGTTAGGGATAAACGTACATTTCTAATTATATTATTCAAAATAATATATACACTGTAATTCGTGATGAAAATAAATATAATTTAAAATAGGAAAGCTGGAATTTGGGTAAAAAATTTGTTACTCAATTGAATCTATTGTTATATTAGCATTAGTATGTTTATTTATTACTTCGTATGCTAAAACATGTGTCAGAAATAGCTACTATGCATTATATTTAATGTTAAAGTTCTTTAATAATACTTAAAGTTTCAAACGTATATCGATATAGCTTAATCAGCAAAAAAAAAATTTATGAGTTTACCCGGCAATTGTCATCCGAAGTCATATGTAGGCCGGCAAAAAAAATCCGGCTACCATTTTTTCATGGCGACGCTAGGGTTGTTATGATTAAAGGAAAATTTGAGATTTTAGATTGTCTGTTGGTTTATATTTTTGATCGGTTACGTTTATATTTCTTTGAAATCGGTAAAATTTTTAAAAATCGATGGAATCTCCGATTCAATCAAGCATGACATCGTAATTTGTAGAGGTCACATCTTTTAGCGACGGATTTTTAATTTTTAACAATTAAAAATTAAAATTGCATTATTAAATTGATAATTTTTAATGATTTAAATTGTCAAAATAATACGGTTAACGATAAAATTAAAATTTATATATTTGGCATGAATACGTAAACTATTATAGATCTGCGTATTTTATAGCTAATCACAGAATATCATTTTATTGATACATTCTTGTTAAATACTTAAAAATTAATAATTTTTAGCTTTGAATTAAGATTAAAAAATCCCCATTATTAGATAGGTTGTGATGTATCAGCGATAAATAAAATAATAAATAATTTAAGTGATCCTTAAAGTGATTCAATGATGATGTATTTAATTTAAATAGAGAACGACTTAATAAATATTTAAGCGTGATCTTAATAAATTCATTTTACGGAATTAATTTAAAAGACTTAACGAATGGAATTGCATAACAAGGTAGGTATGATTATTATTGAGAAACCCCTTTCTTCATCTTCAGGATAACCTTAACCATTGTATAAAATAACCCATTTAAATCATCTCAATGAGAAAAATTACCTTTTCAACAAACCATACACAGTCTCTTACGCCTTACCACTAACCATTAATACGAACAATGTCTAATTCACATGATGTTCTCATCAACTCTTCCGCACGTTACTCAACAGGTCATTAGTAACTGTAGTCGTTCTATCATGTACTAAAAGGTACATGAGTTTACCAATTATTACGTTTAAAGATTTTTCTGATGTAATTGGGGTTAAAAATATGAATATGAGTCGGGAGGATGTATCAAAAAATTATGTTTTAAATGGTTCAAAATGAAAATAAGTAATTTTCAAAAAAAAGATTTTGAGCCAAATACGGATATGAATGCCTAGCTTTTTAATTATAAATACAACTTGAGCTCGATAAAGGTGTTAAATTATCACTTATCTGATAATTCGTTCTGTCTAAAACTATCAAAATGAAATTCAATTACATCGCTTTAGTTCTTATCATTGCTATTTTGAACGTTTCTTTGACAATTGCCTCGCCTGCTGTCTTAGAAGAACATGATCCCTTAGAAGAACGTGATGCCTTAGAAGAACGTGGTGTCTTAGAAGAACGTGGTGTCTTAGAAGAACGTGATGCTTTAGAAGAACGTAGTGTCTTAGAAGAACGTGATGTCTTAGAAGAACGTGATGCTTTAGAAGAACGTGATGCTTTAGAAGAAAGTGATGCCTTAGAAGAACGTGGTGTCTTAGAAGAACGAAGGTAGTTAATTTGATTTATTGTTTTATGATAGTTTTTTTTTTAAATATATCAAAATTTATAACCATTTGTTAAATTATTAGAGTGTATGTATTTCATTAATTTGTTATGTACTAAATATCATTTGATGATATCCAAATTATTATTTATAAACCTTTAATGCACATTTTAATTCTTTTTTTTTATTGAATTACTAGTTGGTAAGCATATGTTTACTATAATTGTATCCAAATTATAATTGAAGATTAGTATGTAAGTATAAGTTTTATTATATTTATTTTTAAATTTACATTTTAATGATTTTTAAAATATGCGTCTGACAAATATTTTAACAAACGTATCTATCAAATTATTAGCCTGTAAGTAAAAGCTATATTTTGTTTTAAAGCTTTATTTTTAAACTATCTTATTTTATAACATTATAAATTATTTTTTCTTTTATTAAATTATTAGCGAATAATTATGAGTTTTAATATATTTGGTTTTAAATTTTTCATTTGATGATTTTATTTATTAAATTATTAGCTAGTAAGTATAAGCTATACGTATTATATTTGTTTATAAAATTATTATTGATGATTTTTAAAATATGCATATTAACAAATATCTTTGTCAAATTATTAGCCCGTATGTATAAACTTTATTCTATTTGTTTTTAAAATTATTATTGATGATTTTTAAACTAAGTTTCTGACAAATATTTTAACAAATACCTTGTTGAATTATTAGATTGTAAGTATAAAAATTTACTAGATTTGGGTTTAAAATTTTATTTGATCTTAAATTATGATAACTATAAATTTATAACATATTTTCTCTTGCATTGAATAATTAGTGGGTAAATATACGTTTATTATATTTGCTTTTAAGATTTTTATTTGATTTTAATATAAATTTACAATGCATTTTTCTTTATGAACTATTAGCCAGTAAGTATATATTTTATCGTATTTGTTTAAAAATTTTCATCTGATGATTATAATTTTAAATACTGTTATTTATAACTTTATAATTTTTTTTTTGAATTATTAGTCGGTACGTATAAGCTTTAGTATATTTTGTTTTTAATTTTTTATTTATAATTTTTAAATTACATTATTAATAATTCACAATATACACTTTCTCTTGTTGATTTGTTAGCTGGTATGCATAAGCATTAATATATTTGTTTTTAACCCTTTATTTTATTTTAATGCTATTATAACATTATAATGCATAATTTTTCTTTTATTTAATTATTAGCTTGTAAGCATAAACTTTTTATATTTGTTACCAAATCTTCACTCAGTAATTAAATGATGTTATTTATAACTTTATAATAATATACATCATATTTATTGAATTATTAGCTAGTAAGTATAAGCTTTACGTATTATATTTATTTTTAAAATTATTATCTAATAAATATTTTAAAAAACATTTCTATTAAATTATTAGTCAGTAAGTACATGCTTTATATTTGTTTCTAATTTTTTCATTCGATAGTTTTTAAATGATATATTTATAATTTATTAAAAATATTTCTTTCATCGAATTATTAGTTGGTAAGTATAAGCGTTATTATATTTGTCTTTAAATTTTGTTTGATGGATTTAATTGGCGCTATTTATAACCTTATCATATATTTTCTTTTATTGAATTATCAGGCAGTAAGTATATACTTTAAACTTTTACTATTATTATTTACACTATTGATAATTCTATAATGTAATTCTTTTCTTGCAAAAATTGCTAGATGGTATGTATAAGCTTAATTATAATTATTATTTGATATTTTATACATTTTTATATCTAATTATACATATTTTTGACAAATGCTTTTGTAAAACTATTAGCTGGTAAGTTATATGTAAAAATTATTAAATTTTTAAAATCATTATTCATGAATGATAAAAAATATTTTAACAAATACCTCTATTAAATTATTAGCTCGTAAGTATAAGCTTTTTTATATTTATTTTTAAAATTATTAGAGATTTAAAATATGCATCTGGCAAATATTTTAACAATACTTTTTTCAAATTATTAGCCAGTAAGTATAGGCTTTATTATATCTATTTCTAAAAGTTTTATTGAGTTTTAAAATATGTCATTTATATTTTTCTTTTATCAAATTATTAGCCGGTAAGTATAAGTTTTGATTGCTAAAATTTTGCTTTATTTTTTTATATTATGTACGTTAATTATAACTTTATAATATATATTTTTTCTTAACGTATTATTAGTTGGTAAGTATAAATTTTCTTGTAAAAAAATTATTTTCTTAAAAAATGCATTTTAAAATTATTATTTATGAAATATATGTAAAAATTCTTTATAAAATTCTTAGTCTGTAAGTATAAGCTTTATTATATTTATTTTTTAATAACATTAATCATTTAAAATATGTATCTAAAAATGCTTTAACAA